TGTGTGTGTGTGTGTGTGTGTGTGTGTGTGTGTGTGTTTTCGCGTGTGTATGTATGTGTTTTTGTGCGTTTGTGTGTATGTGTGGGTTTGTACGCGCATACGTATGTAGGAGTATGGGTGGTTGAAAATGCGTGGAAAGTTCTGTAAAAATTCATGGAAGTTTTGTCTGCTTTCAAATTGGGTCCAGCTTTGAAGAATTACTACCAATATTTTTCTCCTTTTTTTTTTGTTAGTTTTTTTTTTTTGCTCTTAAGTAATTATTTCAAAGTTGGGCTGAAAAAACTTTTAGTTTATACTGTTGATTCTAATGAAGAGCTGAATCTTTTCTCCTTAAAAAATTTTAGAGTTATTTTATTAGTGTCTTTCTAAATGTCTTTTATTTTCAGTGAAATTCTGTTGAAATAAAGTGTTCGATTTAAAGTGCTGCCTACAACAATAATAACAGAATAGCACTGTTACAATAAAGAGAAAAAAGTCTTGAAAGATCACCGTGGGAAAGCACCTCTTGGCAGGTTTTCTTTAATTTTGTCAAATTTTCAGGTGCCTGCCAGCGATGAGTTCCCCAACGAGGTCTAAGAAAAAAAAAGAAAATTTATGTTTTTGCAACTTTATGATTAGGTGTTTTCTGCTGAGCTACAAACGAAAAGTGTTCATAGTCATGGGAAGAAATTTTACTGGTTGGGTTATTTCAGTGCAGGATAATGTCATTGTCGGTTAGCAGACGATTATGTTATTGAGAACCGATGTAACACTGGTTCTTATTGCCGACAGCTGCTTCAAAAATTAGCTATTTTGCTTGACAGTGTTCTTTTCAACTTTTCACGCTTCAGAAGACTCAATTATTTATAGCTGTCGTCATTAGTTTGAATTTGGCGAAGTCATCTGTGTCCTATAACATTACAACTGTTGCACATCAAGACAAAAAAAAAAAAAAAGAAAAACAGGAAGTAGTCCTGAAAGTTTTTTTAGATTAATTACGTTAGAAGCGTTAAAGAAACACTTTATAATTCAAATCTATTCCATTATAGGTTTAAAAAAAATAAACCATGTAACTCTGTAAAGTGAAGGAAACTTTTTTTTTTTACTGAGACACACTGAGTTTTTAACTTGTGGAAAGGAAAATCTTTCTTTATTGCTGTGGCAGTAACAGTTTCAGTTGATACATTTGTCAGCTAAATGTTTTTTCAATTCGATCACTTAACGCTAAAAAACTAAGAACCTTTTCTTCTCAGAATGAGCATGCGCCTCATATGGTCTCTGGTCTCATCAGAAAATACTTGATAACGGTTAGTTGAAGAATAAGTGTTACAGTAAAAGATTATCTTTTGGCTCTTTTTTTTGGAACTCTTTCTTTTATAAATCTACCTTTTTTCTTTAGAGGAAGTTGATGATGCTAATTGTCACAGTTCACCAGTTGCATATAATTACCGACTTTTGTACTCTTCAATCTTTTAACTGTTATTTGTTTTATATCACGCCCAGAACTACCTGGAAGTTCATATTGCGGGAATAAAGAGGTTTTCTACAAGTTCAAAATGTAATAACAATGGCAGTAAAATTTGACAAATAGTGAGTTCTAAAAACCTTGATTCCTGAAAGTTTCAGCTCACTAACGATCTCTATAATAGAGTGTAAATCTTAGTAATATCGACAAAGTTACGTTCGTCTGTTCCGTATTATTGATCAAGTTTCTTACACGTAATTTCTTCGTCTTTTTAATCACCTTTTATTGAAGTTATTGCAGTGCAACAACGCCGGAAACAGTGTGCTGCAATTTTTGGAACCTGTCATCCATTTCTACAGACGTCTTCGTTAAACTTTAATTTAGAACAGTGGAGCAATAACATCTCAAAATCTAACTTTTCATGGAAAATTAATAGATTTTAAAATAAAATTAATAGTCTGCTACAGTAATTGGCACCTTATTAATATTGAAAATAACCACCCCTTTTTCAGAATAAATCAGTATCTGAATTACATGCTCAATATTCATTTTTGGAACTAGTAATTTCTTAAATTTATTTTTTAATTGGGACAAAATTCTAGTTAGTGACTCAGAAGGTTTACTCAAACTAAGACAAGTTTTTTTAGTTTTTGAAAGAAATTTAATAACATATAGGCTTCGCTGAATGAATGTTCTCTCTGACATATTCCTGTAGCAAACACAGCTTTTCTAAAATCTTTGTTGAACTTGGATAAAACAAAAAATATTTTTTATAAATTTAGACAAAAGTAACTCTGATGAATGAATAAATCAAAAAGTCGTTGTTATTACCACTAAGCAAAATAAATTTTTATCGGCAGAAATGCTGTGAACAATAGAGAGGTTTGATGGATATATAACTTGTACACTTATTAAAAAAGTTTGACAAAGTAAGAGTTTTTTTGACAAAACTTTATCACGTATTTTAGAGTAAAACTACGAAGTAAAAGAAGTTTTTTTTTGTAGAATTCTTCTTATCGATTTTTTTACTGTGGCACACTTATAGATTTCATGACCTTTTTTTTTTTTTTTTTTTTGAGCTATGCAATTGTCAAATTAATTCTCATAGTGTAGTATTTAAGTGATCGGGACTACAGTTTATATTACTTATACAGGGCAAAAAAAAACAAAAACAATTGAGGTTTACGGTTTTAAGAAAAAACTTTCCAAAACGATCGTAAACACACACACAGAATAGAATTTGATCGTAAGATATTCAGCGATAACGCACCAATCTTTTTTCTCGCGATCGTTAGCATTTACACGTCTAAAATATCTGCACAGTTGTTCACATTTTTTCTTACTGTAAATTTGCTTTTCTGTAGTCATCACGAGTTGTAAGTTTCAGAAGTTTGCAGTGAAATAATTGGAAATAGATTGAATAAAAAGTTTGAAAAACTTAAAAATGAGAATAATTTTCAGGACATTACATTAAAAAACAAAACTGTTTTGACATTTTAGTGCTAAATCTCTTTCAGTATAAGAAAGTTTAGCAGCATAAATTAGGCTAGAATCAATTTACTATTACCAATAATCAATAAATTTGAAAAATTTTAATAATTGTACAGCTTAGTTTGTTTAGTTTGTTTAACAAATACAGTAGAAAGAAGTTAAAGTATCTGCAGAGTTTACAGACAGTTCTGCTCTCCCGAAAATTTAATATCAGATACGGTAAGATACTTATAAATCTAAACATTCAAAGTGTTAATAATTACGACAAGAAACTACCATATCAAACATCATGTGTTTAGCAGAAAATATCTCAGTAATTTCAAAAACTATATATAAAAACTCTGTTTCACCACTATCAACTTATTGTAGAGGAAAAAAAAAATAAAAAGATTAGTATTATTTGCTGGAAAATAGTTGTTTTTTCTCTCAGAACTATTGCTTACAGACAGTTATTAATGACTGTCTTGTGACTGACTGACTGAATTGGAAAATCGAGAAAAAAAAAATTCTTCTTTTTCTTTCTTTTTTCATTTTGTTTAGACCATAGACACCAAAATAATGGCGCAAAGAGCATCCGGAAGAGATGACGAATACTGACTGTTTCCCACAGGTTTCACTCCGTCCAATTAAGTTTATAAAATGAATGAGACGAACATTATTAGTCTCTATAGACAGAACTTATTAGAAGGGGGGGGGGGGAAGCAATTTGAAATTTACTCTTTCTCGAAAAAGTTATCTTCTTTCTTTTTCTTTCCCTCTTTCCTTCCTTCTTATTTTTTTTTTCTTTTCTACAGTTGCTTCTGTTTTTTTTTTTTTGTGTGTGTGTCCGACAGAAATGCACAAGACAAGGAACCATTGATTATTCCATGAAACTGTCAACTCATTACTCTTTCTTTTTTTTTTTTTTTTTTTTTTT